GAAGCTAAGAAACTAACAGACAGATAGACAAACAGGCAGACAGACAGACAAATATACGGACAGATAGATAGATAAACAGACAGAAAATGAGAAATAGACAGAGGATGAAGTTCAGTGTATGTGTTCGCTTAAATTACGTAAAAAAATGACCTTATAATACTTTTTACATCTTATAAATGCGAGGCGACATGAAACTATCATATTTACAAGATTAACACTGAAATATTCACAGATATATACATAAAACATTAAGTATAGGTTGACTAAATGTATGCTTTTGTTTGTTTGTTTGTTTTTTTCCTAGTTTCAAATCGGTTACAGGATTTCTTGGTGTAATTAACAAAACGTAATCTTCACTTCTTTTTCATGATCATAATTAGAGAATTAAAGTAATCATTTATTTATAATAAAAGTGATATTTTTATCTTTTTTGTTTCTTAACTAGAGGTGTTCCATTGTTAGACCCTCAGTTTATTCATGATAAAAAAATCTATATAATAAATGGAATAATTCACGTTGTAGACCGAATGAAAATAAATAAGGATAGTTATAAATAGATGTCATAAAGTAATAAATAGAAAAAAAAAAAAAAACACCCGAATCTGCCTGAGGATGGCAGAGGGATTCCAACGGTCGTAACGGTTCTTGCAATTCGAAAATCTAGTCGACGGCCGCGTCCTCCTCGACCAGACACTCGGCGCCGATCCCTTCGTCGATGCTGATCTGGCGTTGGGCGCGCACCTTGGCCCCCTCGCCGCTGTCGACGCTGCCCCGCCCGGAGTCCGGCACCTCGGGCGCGCCCTCCGCCCCGCCGCAGTCCTCGGGGATGGCCACCACCTTCAGGACGGACGTGGAGCCCTTCCTCCGGGCCAGGCGCTCGCAGGGGGCCACGCCCGTGAGCGAGGTCTCCCTCACCAGCGGCGGGAGGGACGACTGCTTCTTCCTGATGTAGCGCGTCAGGGACTTGTCGTAGGGCAGCGAGAGGTACCTCTTGTCCCTGGCCTCGAGGTCGCCCGTCGGGAGCTTGTCCAGGCTCCTCACCCGCCGCAGGGGAGCCGCGGGGGCCTTCGCCGCGCCCTCGGCCACCACCTGCAGCGAGAGGGGCGCCATCGCCATCTTCCTCCGGTGCACGGCGGGGGAGACGCTGGCGCAGGTCATCACCGTCGTCTGGAGGGCCGGGGGCGGCGCCGCGGGGGCAGAGGGAGGAGGGGGCGAGGGCGGGGGCGTCGAGGGGTCTTCGCGGACGCTGCCGAGGACGCTGGGGGCGGAGACCCTTCGCGTGGGCCGTGGGTGGAGGTGCAGGTGGTTCTGGCTGTGGGACGGGGTCTCCGCGTCGAAGTCGTCGCCGGACACCATGACCGCGCCTGCAACACGAACGGGGGCGTTAAGGGCGTTTTTAGTATGCTGAAAGCGACGGAAAACGACTCTAGCACAGTTACGATTACAAAAAAAGCGTTGCATGTACCTGAAAACCTCGATTTTGAAATGCATCAAATAAATAAATAGATAATTAACAATCATAATAATGAATGGTAAAAAAAAAAAAAAAAGTGGAATTAAAAATCAATTTCTCATTAATCAAAATGGACAGTATGAGGAGGTGAGAAAGATGCCCAAAAGCTTAAAAACAAGCAAAATGCAGAATCTAAATCAATACCGTTGTTCCTGTTGAAAAAAAAAAAAAAAAAAACAAACATAATAACAATAATGATAATAATGACAATAATAATTAAGAGCAATGATAGAAATGCTGATAATGATAATAAAGATAATGATGAGGACAACCATGATGATAATGATGATGGTCAAAGTGATATCAAATTAAAATACTTATTTCATGATAGTGAATCAATAGGGAATATGAAAACAAATGAAGGTTTATTGACACCATAATCATAAAAAAATGTTATTCACTATTTAATATATTACAAACCGTTATGTAAGTAACTAATCTATCGAAACTATAGTCAGTAATCATTAGAGAAACAAATACTATTGATTATAAAAATAAAAGGTGTTTCTCAAGTGTGTGTGTGTGTGTGTGTGTGTGTGTGTGTGTGTGTGTGTGTGTGTGTGTGTGTGTGTGTGTGTGTGTGTGTGTGTGTGTGTGTGTGTGTGTGTGTGTAGATCTTTGATTCACTATGCCAGGATTAAAGGTACAACATCTTCCATAAATACATTTTCTTTCCACGTGCAAGAGTCAGTTATTTTATATGCAAAAGACACACGATTGTTTTATTATATTACACAGATCAGGCACATAGGTATACAAAAAAAGGCCTAGAGGTGGTCAGTTGCTCCAGGAATGCTCCATCATGCGAGGAAAAGTAATAAAAAGGTAACCAATTGGGAGCAAATGACGGCAGAGAAAAATTCTTTAGTTTACCCTGATGGGTCGTTTTCTTTGTACATCGGAGGAGAGGACTAACTAATCTAAAATGGTAAAAATAAAATCGGTTCAGACAGCAGCCGGAGGGAAAATAATATACACAAAAAGGATTAAAAGGGATCAAAAGGTAAACAAACAAACCTCTGTTATCCATGTCAGTGAGGAGGACAACAAATAAAGGAAGAAAAACAAAAACAATAACAAATACACAAGGAGGAAAAGCGACTACTTGGCAGTACTGGGGAGCAACGGAGAAACTTCTGGGTTACCTGAAGGGGAGGCTCCCTGAGGTCAAGACATACTACTGAAGATGCTCACGAGGGGAAATACGGTGTGGGGAGTGACACCTGAGGGGAGAAAGGGGGGGGGGTGAATCACAGCCAGTGACCCACGGCATCGTCAGGCGAGTCACGAGAGGACAGTCACTGGGTCAAAATCGCGAGGCAGACGACAAGGGGAATGGAAGGACCAGAGGGAGAGTTTCTCGTTTCGATCACAACCACGAGTTTCTTAAGAGACAAGAAAAGGGGGGAAATACAACACCGAAAACAACATCCAAGCGCAGAGGGGAAGAGGAGTTGTAAAAACAACAACAACAACAAAATTAGCATAACACTACACGCAAAAAATTGTTGTATGCAGTGTTTTTCTATTAAATCAACACGGTAGAATCACTTGCCACTTAACAACAACAGAATCACAACACCGAAACAAACTCAAAAAAAATCCACTGATGAAAGAAGACAGAAAAGGAAGGAAAAGAGAAGAGAAGAGAAGAGAACTCACAACTAATTATAATGAAACAACAACCCACACAACAAGGTTAAGTGAACAACACCGATCTTGCATCATTAACACTCTGAGGGGCGGGGGCTAGGGGGGGGGGCGAGGGGCGAGCTGGAGTGGGGGCGGGGGAGGATTTTGAGTGGGGAGAGAGGGGGGCGGGGGAGGAGTTTGAGTGGGGGAGGGGGAAGAGTTTGAGTGGGGTGAGAGGGGCGGGGGAGGGAGTTTGAGTGGGGAGAGATGGGGAGGGGGAGGAGTTTGAGTGGGGGGAGGGAGGGGGCGGGGAGGAGTTTTGAGTGGGGGAGGAGGGGCGGGGAGGAGGTTGAGTGGGGGAGAGAGGGGGGGGGGGGGGGAGGAGTTTGAGTGGGGAGAGGAGGAGGCGGGGAAGGAGTTTGAGCGGGGGGAGGGGGGGCGGGGTAGGAGTTTGAGCGGGGCGAAGGGGGCGGGGAGGGGAGTTTGAGTGGGAGAGATGGGCGGGGTAGGAGTTTTAAGGAGGGAGTTTCGGAGTGGGGAGAAATGGGGGCGGGGGAAGAGTTTAAGTGGAGGGGACCAGATTGAGTGGGGGGAAGAGATGGGCCGAGGAGGAATTTGAACGGGGGAGAAAGGGATTGAGTGGGGAGGAAAGGGGGAGGGGGGAGCACACACCTGACCTACCTGTCTGTCCGGCTTCCCCCTACCGAGTGACGAGGAAAATTCGAAGAGACAGCAATCTGCAAGAGGATGCCGGGTTCTCAAAGCCGATCACGGGGACGCGAGGAAAACAATGGGGACTTCTTTTTCATTTTTTTTTTTTTCTTTCTTTTCATTTTTTAAAGAAGGAAGGAAGTGGAAGGAGGAGAGGGAGAGAGAGGGGGGAGGAAGTGGGAGGAGGAGGAGAGAGGAGGGGAGGATGAGGAGAGAGAGAGGGGAGGAGTGGGAGAAAGAGGAGAGAGAGAGGGAAGGAAGTGGGAGAGAAGAGAGAGAGAGAAGGGAGGAATGGGGAGAAGAGGGGAGGAAGAGGAGAGAGAGAGGGGAAGAAGAGGAGAGAAGAGGGGAGGAAGTGGAAGGAGAGGGGAGAGAGAGGGGAGAAGTAGGAGAGAAGGGGAGGAGGGAGAGGAGAGAAGAGAGAGAGAGAGAAGGGGAGGAAGGGAGGAGAAGAGGAAGAGAGAGGGGAGGAGGGAGGAAGAGAGAGGAGGAAGGAGGAGTGGAGGAGAGGGGGGAGAAGAGGAGAGAGAGGTAGGAGGGAAGGGAAATGGGAGGAGGAAGGAAGGAAGGATCAAGAGGAGGAGAAGATAGGGTGAGGAGGAAGAAGAGAAAGGGACAGTAAAATGAAAATAAAGAGGAAGGAGGAGAAAGAAGCAGACAAAGAGAAAAGAAAAAGGAGACAAAAACAGAGAGAAGGAGAGAAGTAAAGAGTAAGAAGGAAGAGAAGAATAACGAAGAAGACAAAGAAGGAATAAGAAAGACCATAAAATCCCTTTATTTTCCTCATGCGTCGAATAAAGACCTTGTTTACCTCATCAATAATTATGGTGTTGCCTATTCGCCTTTTCTCTATTTCTTTTTTTTTTTTCCCATTCTCTCTCTCTTCCAAAATTTATATACAAATAAAATCGTGGTCGAGATTCCATATTAGGAGAAAAAAGACATAATTGGTAAAAAGATATCAGAATATCAAATACCTTTCTCTTTCTTTCTTCTCTCTCCTTTTTTTATTAAATTTTCATTGTTATTCCCATTTTTTTTTGTAAATGTATCTATACAAATACATTTGTCATGGACGAACGAAAATATATATTCAAACACTATATAACTACAGTAGTATTCGTTGATCCGTTGTCATAATGAAAAAAAATCCTGCAAAATATAATATAATGGGTATTTTATTCCCTTTATCAAACCCAGTACAAAAAAAAAGAAAAAAAAACTGAAAACCGATAAAATGATATATATATATATATATATATATATATATATATATATATATATATATATATAATGGCAAATGTTCTGAAAATCTGAACACATGAAACACAGTAGCTTGTGTTTCACTTCAACAAAATCCAATGTGTTTGTCTAAGAAATTCTGTTTAACAAACAAAAGTAAACAATTCGTGCGAAAAAAAGGACTTACAGGAGATATCCGCACGAAATACCCCACACCAATACCTTAAACTAAATACCCACTACCAAACATAAACCCACACCAAAATGCCCACCAAATACCCACCCAAAAAATCCCACAAAAATATCACTCAAAATACCCACCCCAAAAATATACCCACCAAATACCAAAAAACCCACCAAAAAACCCCCTAAAAATACCCACATAAATACCCCACTCCCAAAATACCCACCCAAAAAAATATCCACCCAAAAAATACCCACCCAAAAAATACCACAAAATACCCACCCCAAAAATACCCACCCCAAAACATTACCCACCCTAACAATACCCACCCCAAAAAATACCCACCCCAATAAAAAATACCACCCCAAAAATACCCCACCCACAAAAATACCCATCCACCAAAAATACCCACCAAAAAATACCCCCAAAAAAATACACACCAAAAAATACCCCCCAAAAAATAACCCACCCCCAAATTCCCCCCCCCCCCAATACCACACCTAAATACCCACTCAAAAAATACCCACCCCTTAAAATATCCCCAAAAAAATACCCCCCCCCAAAAAAAAAAAAAAAAAATACCACCCAAAAAAAAACCACACCCCAAAAAACCCATACCCCCCCCCCAAAAAAAAAAAAAAAAAAAAAAAATACCCACCCAAAAAGGAATACCCAACAAAAAATACCCACCCAAAATCCACACCAAAAAATATACCCCACACTCACCCGAATCCTGCGAGGGCTTCCGGGCATTGAGGTTATACCCGCGCGTGGGTATGTGATCGTAGTCCGCCATGAGGAAGATGGGCGGCAGGTGGGGCGGCGCGTGCCCTCCCACGCCCATAGAGCCAGAGATCGTCGGGATGGGCGCCGTCAGGAGGGCGGGGTTGGGGCACGGCGTCAGGGGCTTCTCCAGGATGTCACGGTGCCGGAGGGACGAGAAGTCGAGCACGCTGCCTTCTGCGAGAGGGGGGGGCGGGGGTTAGATATGGTGGAGGGTGGGGGTGTTTTGTGGTGCTTCTTTGTTTTGATGATTTCTATATATCTATTTAACTATTTATCTATTTCTACTCCCCATCTCTCTCTCTCTCTTTTTTTTTCTTCTCTCTCTCTCTCTCTCTCTCATTCTCTGTCTCTGTCTCTCTCCTCTCCCCAACCTCATTCAATCTTTTCTTTTCTTCTTCCTTTCTCTCGTTTTATATTTCTTTTCTTTAAATACCAAAGCATTGATCACAGCACCGTCAATTGTTTTTTCTTTTCCCTTTAACATTCAAAAACATTTTTCTTTTCCCTCTAACGCTATTCACTCTTTTCTTCCTTTCCCTCTAATATTTATTCATTATTTTCCCTCTCCCTCTAACATTTTATTCATCTATTTTCCTTTTCCCTCTAACGCATATTCACTCTTTTCTTCCTTTCCCTCTAATATTTATTCATTTATTTTCCCTCTCCCTCTAACATTTATTCATCTATTTTCCTTTTCCCTCTACGCATATTCACTCTTTTCTTCCTTTCCCTCTAATATTTATTCATTTATTTTCCCTCTCCCTCTAACATTTATTCATCTATTTTCCTTTTCCCTCTAACGCATATTCACTCTTTTCCCTTCTTCCTTTCCCTCTAATATTTATTCATTTATTTTCCTCTCCCTCTAACATTTATTCATCTATTTTCCTTTTCCCTCAAACTCATATTCACCTTTTTCTTCTTTTTCCTCTAATGCTTATTCATTCAATTTCCTTTCCTCTAACATTCATCATCATTCCATTTTCCCTTTTCCCTCTAACATTTATTCATTCATTTTCCTTTTTTCCCTCTAACATTTTATTCATTCATTTTCTCTTTCTCAAACATTTATTCATCTATTTCCCTTTTCCTCTAACATTCATTTTCCTTTTCCTACAAATATCTATTCATCAATTTCCCATTTCCCTCTAATACTTATTCATTCATTTTCTCTTTCCTCTAACATTTATTCATCTATTTTCCTTTCCCACTAACATTCATTCATGTATTTTCCTATTTCCCTCTAATACTTATTCATTCATTTTCCCATTTCCCACAAACATTCATTCATTCTTTTCCCTTTACCACAAACATTCATTCATTCATTTTCCCTTTCCCACAACATTCATTCATCATTCATCTATTTCCCTTTTCCCTCTTCCGCATATTTACCAGTGAATGAGTTGAGAGTCGACGGCCTGGGGTTCAGGCTTGCCTCTGCGCCGGGCTCTGCTGCTGCTCGGGCAAAGACAGGTCACGACCTCTTTCCTTATGGACCGGTTGTAGAGCCCGTAGACGATGGGGTAGAAGACGCTGGCCGTGAACAGGAGCAAGGTCGAGGTCACCTGGAGAAGAGGGTGGTTGGGGAGGGGGTTGTAGTTTTTTTTGAGGAGGGTTGTAAATTTTTTTTGGGGGGGGTTTAATTTTTTTTTTGGGGGGGTTGTAATTTTTTTTTTGGAGGGGGGGGTGGNTGACGAGGAATAAAATTCGAAGAGACGGCAACTGCAAGAGGGATGCCGGTTCTTCAAGCCGATCACGGGGACGCGAGAAAAACAAATGGACTTCTCTTTTCATTTTTTTTTTCTTTCTTTTCATTTTTTTTAAGAAGGAGAAGAGGACAGAGAGAGGGGAGAGAGAGGGGAGGAAGTGGGAGGAGAGAGAGAGAGGGGGGGGGAAGTGGGGAGAAGAAGAGGGAGGAGAGAGAGAGGGGAGGAAGAAGGAGAGAGAGGGGAGGAAAGTTGGGAGGAGAAAGAGAGAGAGAGAGGGAGGAAAGTCGAAGGAGAAGAGGAGAGAGAGAGGAAGGAAGTAGAAGGAAAATGGAGAGAGGAAGGAAGGAAGGATCAAGAGGAGGAGAAGATGAGGAGGAGGAAGAAGAGAAAGCCGATCACGGGGACACGAGGAAAACAATGGGGACTTCTTTTTCATTTTTTTTTCTTTTCTTTTCATTTTTTTTTTTAAGAAGGAAGGAAGTGGAAAGGAGGAGAGGAAGAGAGAGGGAGAAGTGGACAAGGAGATAGAGGAGAGAGAGAGGGGAGGATGAGGAGAGAGATAGGGGAGGAAGTGGAAGGAGGAGAGGAGAGAGAGAGGGAGAAATGGGAGGAGAGAGGGAGGATGAGGAGAGAGATAGGGAGGATGAAAGGAGAAAGAGGAGAGAGAGAGAGGAGGAAGTGGAAGAGAAGAGGAAGAGGAGAGAAGAGAGAGAGGGGAGAAGTGGAAGGACAAAGAGAAAAGAGAAGGAGACAAAAACAGAGAGAAAGAAGAGAGCAAAGAGGAAGAAGGAAGAGAAGAATAACGAGGAAGACAAAGAAGGAATAAGAAAGACCATAAAATCCCTTTATTTTCCTCATGCGTCGAATAAAGACCTTGTTTACCTCATCAATAATTATGGTGTTGCCTATTCGCCTTTTCTCTATTTCTTTTTCTTTTATTTTTTCCATTCTCTCTCTCTTCCAAAAATTTATATATACTAAAAATGAAATCGTGGTCGAGATTCCATATTAGGAGAAAAGAGATATGATCGGTAAAAAGATATCAGAATATCAAATACCTTTCTCTTTTCTTTCTCTCTCCTTTTTTATTAAATTTTCATTGTTATTCCCAATTTTTTGTAAATGTATCTATACAAAATACATTTGTCATGGACGAACGAAAAAGTATAATTAAACTACATAACTACAGTAGTATTCGCTGAGCCGTTGCCATAACGAAAAAAAATCCTGCAAAATATAATATAATGGGTATTTTATTAACCTATACAAACGTAAAAAACAAAAAACAAAAAAAACAAAAAAAAAATCTGCAAACCGCGATAAAAAATGTATATATATATATATATATATAATATTTATATATATATATACTATATATATATATTATATAGTATATATATATACATTATTTGCAAATTTCTGAAACTCTGACTTCATGAACACAGTAGCTTGTGTTCACTTCAAAAAATCCAATGTGTTTGTCTAAGAAAGTCTGTTAACAAACAAAAGTCAAACAATTCGTGCGAAAAAAAGACTTACAGGAGATACACGGCTCCCAAAATCCCACATCCAAAGACAAATAAATTAAATACCCACACCCAAGAAAGCCCGACCAAAAAAAGCACCCAAACAATAACCCACCTATAAATACCCACCAAAAAAAATACTCACCGCTCTAAAAATACCCCACAATATAGTACCCAGAGAACTACCTCCCAAAAATACCCAAAAAAGAGCGTGGAATAAACACCCACCCTAAAATATATCCGTCCTCGCCTAAAAACTGCACCGACCCAAAATACTCACTTCTACGTCCCCAAAAAATACCCACCAAAAATACCCCCAAAATATAAAAATACTCACCCCCAAAAAATACCCACACCCAAAATACCCCCAAAAATACCCCCCAAAAATACCCACCCCAAAAATACCCCACCCACAAAAATACCCCAAAATGCCACCAAAAATTCCCACCCAAAAAGATACCCACATCCAAATAATACCCACCAAAAAATAACCCAAGAGAAATATCCACCCCCCAAAATACCCACCCCCAAAATACCCACCAAAAATACCCCCCCCCAAAAAAAAAAAAAAAATATATATATATACCCCAAAAATACCCACACCAAAAAATATACCCCTAAAATACTCCCAAAAAAACCCACACCCAAAAAAAATACCCCACAACTCACCGAATCCTGCGAGGGCTTCCGGGCATTG